CACCGAAGGCCTTTGTGACAGGGTTCGCATGGCACCACCGCCCCATTCTGGCGCACCCCTCACACGGCTCGTGGCCCCATAGGGAGCTCCGCCGAAGGCCCCAGTGGCAGGGTTCGCATGGCACCACCGCCCCATTCTGGCGCACCCCTCACACGGTTCGTGGCCCCATAGGGAGCTCCACTGAAGGCCCCAATGGCAGGGTTCGCATGGCACCACCGCCCCGTTCCGGCGCCCCCCCCCGCACGGTTCGTGGCCTCATAGTGAGTTCCACCGAAGGCCTCAGTGGCGGGGTTCGCATGGCACCACCGCCCCTCTCTGGCGCACCCCTCACACGGTTCGTGGCCCCACAGGGAGTTCCACCGAAGGCCTTTGTGACAGGGTTCGCATGGCAACCGTCCCATTCTGGCGAACCCCTCACACGGCTCGTGGCCCCATAGGGAGCTCCACCGAAGGCCTCAGTGGCAGGGTTCGCATGGCCCCACCGCCCCATTTGGGCGCACCACTCACACGGTTCGTGGCCCCATAGGGAGCTCCACCGAAGGGCCCAGTAGCCGGGTTCGCATGGCACCACCGCCCCATTCTGGCGCACCCCTGCACCGAAGGCCTTAGTGGCAGGGTTCGCATGGCGGCCCCGCGCCATTTTGGCGCACCGCTCACACGGTTCGTGGCCCCACAGGGAGCTCCACCGAAGGCGAAGTGGCAGGGTTCGCATGGCGGCCCCGCCCAATTTTTACGCACCCTTCACACGGTTCGTGGCCCCATAGGGAGCTCCACCGAAAGCCCCAGTGGCAGGGTTCGCATGGCGGCCCCGCGCCATTTTGGCGCACCGCTCACACGTTTCGGGGCCCCATAGGGAGCTCCACCGAAGGCCCCAGTGGCAGGGTTCGCATGGCGACCCCGCCCAATTTGGGCGCACCCCTCACACGGTTCGTGGCCCCATAGGGAGCTCCACCGAAGGCCCCAGTGGCAGGGTTCGCAGGGCCGCCCCGCGCCATTTCGGCACACCCCTCGCACGGTTCGTGGCCCCACAGGAAGATCCACCGAAGGCGAAGTGGCAGGGTTCGCATGGCGGCCCCGCCCCATTTTGGCGCACCCCGCTCACACGGTTCGTGGCCCCATAGGGAGCTCCACCAAAGGCGAAGTGGCAGGGTTCGCATGGCGGCCCCTCGCCGTTTTGGCGCAACCGTCACACGGCTCGTGGCTCAATAGGGAGCTCCACCGAAGGCCCCAATGGCAGGGTTCGCATGGCGGCTCCACCTGATTGTGGCGAACCCCTCACACGGCTCGTGGCCCCATAGGGAGCTCCACCGAAGGCCTCAGTGGCAGGGGTTCGCACGGCGGCCCAGCCCCATTGTGGCGCATCCCTCACACGGTTCGTGGCCCCATAGGGAGCTCCACCGAAGGCCCACAGTGGCAGGGTTCGCATGGCGGCCCCGCCCCATTGTGGCGCAACCCGCACACGGTTCGCGGCCCCACAGGGAGCTCCACTGGAGGCCCCGGTGGCAGGGTTTGCATGGCGGCCACGCCCCATTTTGGCGCACCCGGCACACGGTTCATGGCCTCACAGGGAGCTCCGCCAAAGGCCCCAGTGGCAGGGTTCGCATGGCGGCCCCGCCCCATTTTGGCGCACCCCTCCGGTTCTCACACTTGCATATGGTTGGGTCCTTCGCCCGGATAGCTGTTGTTGTTTTTTCAGACCCCCCCCACGCATTGTCGTCACTCTCTGGCTCCTGGCGCTCCAGAACTTAGAACTGTCGTCGCTACTGTTTGGCTTCTTGGCCTCCGACGTAGAACTGCTGCCACGTTTGACCTCCCACGTTATGTTTCTAGTCCGAGGCGGCGATCGGAATACCGAGCAAAGCGCAAAAGCAAACGTACAGTCGGGGCCCTGAAGAAGGAACCCTTTTGGTTGGGGAGGGGCTCCGCGTTCATTAAGTGTCTCGCAGCTTGCCTCAGGCTCTCCTTAGGTTTTCGATCGGAAATCGAAGGTTAACTCATGGAAAAAAGGGGCCTCGTTCCTTATTTTGGGTTCCTTAGGTCAACGCCTCGACTGTAATGTCGACTTCGGGTCCACTTAGCAGATCAACTATACCATCCGGCGCATGCCAGATGGGGCCGCGCCTGCGGCGCGTCTTTTGCCCTCGGCGGAGGCCGGCGGGAGGTATGACGGCGGTGGGTCCGCCAGCGGAAGCCGGCGGAAGGCGACAGACGTGAAAGTGTCAGGAGGGGAAAAAACACACAGACACAATTAATCGTCGATTCCCAGAAAATATGGGAAAATATGGGCAGTGGGGGGGAAGACAGAAACCCAGAAAATATAGGAAAATATGGGGAATCTTTTATTTGTGTGTATTTATTTGTGTGTCCTAGGGCCCCTTCAGTGTTGTGGTTCAGGATTTCCGAAGTCAGCGACATGGCTCTAGCCATCCCAGAGTCCCCATGGCCATTTGGTTCTGCAAAGCACCTTACAGAGTGCTGATCCTCCTCCTTTTCGCTAGCTCCACTCAAAGCCTCTGTCGCTTTACGTTGATAATCCGATGCGGCGGCGATCGGGATATTATTTCAAACAAGAGTCGGCCTCGGATTAAGGTGTGCACGGTAACAACTTCTGACCATCCCAGAGCCCCCACGGCCACCTTATTCTGACAAGCACACTACGAAGTCCTGATCCACCTTCTTTTGGCCCCCCTTCCGGCCTCCCAACTTTGTTTTGAATTCTCTGTTTGACAGTGTTCGCCAGCGTGGACCCCGAACAGTAAGGTGTTGCATTGTGGGATGTAAGCTACGTGGTGCAGCATGTGTGGAGTAAGCTATGCTGTGCGAGCTATTTGGTGCAAGCTACGTGGTGCATGCTACGTGGTGATGCAAGCTACGTGGTGTATGCTAGGTGGTGCAGGCTGCGCGGTGCAACATCCGTGCAAGCTGTGTGGTGTAAGCTGTGTCGGCGACGCGTAAAAGTGTCCTCACTTCAGAGTAGACTTTGGTGCGCGACTCTCAGGGGGCGCGAGGGATCACAAACCCAGGCACGCGGGGCCGCCGGTGCCGCAACGGTTATGGTTTATGGTTATGTGTGTACGCTTATGGTTTATGGCTGTGCACCCTTTACTATTTTGTAGGCTGCCTGCTTCGTTACTCCACGGCCTTGCGGGCACCCCGTATTTTCACCATGTCTCTCTGCCCATCCTTTGGTCGCACTAGCTTGCGGCTTAATTTTAAGGCCACAACGCCCAAGTCGGTGTCAATGCTATGTCGTTGTTGTCATACCATCCTGGCGCTAGGATCCCAGCTGATCAAAACTCTCGTCAAAAAAGGGCAACCCTGCTTCCCAGTGTCTCTGAGCCTTCCTTCCCACCGCGTGCTGAGGTTTTATCCTGTGCGCGCCGCTTCGCCGAAGTCAGATGTTTGCTGCCGCCACGCAGACGCAACAGCTGCACGGCAGCACGGCGGAGGAAGAGAACGCGAGGCGCCGGAGGGCGCCCGGCGGCGGAGGAGAGGAGACGCCGAGAGGAGGGACGGCCTCGTCGGGCGAGGGTGCCGGGCGGCTCGCGGCGGGCGGGCTCGGCGCGCTGCCGCCAGAGCCCTGGGCGGGGGTGCAGAGGAAAGCAGTGGGTGGCCATCACTGGCTTGCCACGTTTGCACTGGGTTTGCTACTGCGCGGGCGTGCAGGGCGAGCCGCAGTGGTATGGCATCAGAGCTACGAGTCGTTCCCAGTCCGCAGGTGGGGGTAACCCGCGAGGCCAGGATGGCTGTGGCGGCAGGCTGGCGGAACGAAAGAGCTCATGCCCGCCCAACGTCCAGAAAGGAGGGGGGCAGGACTCAGCTGTGCGTAAGAGTGACCTTTCGCGGAAGTGACCTTTGGTGTGGGCACAGTGGGGTCACCATATTGCTGACCGTGACATGATAGCAGCGGTTTGCGCGTTCCGGTTCGGTCTCCCCGCGGCACCCAGAAGTCGCGCACCAATGGTCATTTTTGCTTACGGCAGGTTCGCGTTGTGTCGATCGGCGGCGATGCCGCCTCCGGCGTTCAAGCTTGAACGCCGCTGGCGACCCAGACTCGGTCGCTGTTGAAGGATCGGACGTTTCGGAAACAGCCGATCGTTCAAGGTTGAACGATCCCCGCGGTCTCAGGAACCAACACGCCGGATTGTCACGACGCGAACTTGCCGTCGCCGAAGGACGAGGCGTTGGAGGCGAGGGCAGGGACTCGCGCCGCACGCCATGCTGTGCCGAGCTGTGCCACGCTGTGCCCTGTCAGGGGTCATTTCGACTCCTCCGACTCGATTCGGTTCGATTTTGATCGATTCCGAGACCGATTCGATTCGGCTTCGGATTCCGATCGGGACTTCGATTTGGGCCTTACTAGCCTGCCGATTTCCGCCCATCCGGTCCATCTCGATCGCCGATCCCGCTCATCGATTCGATTCTGGCCCTTCCTGTTTGTGGCACCTACACCCCCCAGGCCTCCGACGAGCCGATCCTTTCAGTCCGGGGATCCTGCCCCGATGTCGGCCCTCCGGGCCGCTCCTGTGGGCCCCGGGGCCATCCAGAACGGAAATCTGGGACGAGAAATTGCCCGTGGGGAGGCGGTCGAGACCTCTGGGGCCGCGGAGTGCCGCGAGGGGCCTCGGCGGAGGTCCGGGCCGCGCGTGCCGCGTGCCTCGCGCGCCGGGCCGTGCCCAGGCGCGCGGTGGCCTCGCCCAGGAGACCGAAGCAGCCAGCCCGTCCCCACGACTGGCCCCCGCGGAGGCTTGCCTCGGGCCAAGGGGGAAAAGGGCGCGGGAGGAGGCAGCGGCCTCGGGCTCACGGGCCGGGAGGTCCTGTCGGCCACGCGCAAAAAGGGGGGTTAGGGGGGAGGGGGGAAGGCTCCTGAGAAGCACACACCCGCGCTTCTTGGAAAAAGGCGCGGCCTTAGCTATAGATGCAGGGCCAGTGCCTTCCAAGAAGCAGCCTCTTTGTGAGGAGGCAAAACACGCGACCGGCGGCTTCCTGCTTCCAGGGAAGACCCCGCCCTCCTCCTCCTCCTCCTCCTCCTCCGTAGCCATTTTGGCTCAAGGCACTTCTGCCCCCTCGGACGCATCCCACTTCTGGCCGCCATGCCTGGCTGGACGAAGCGAAGGCCCCTCGGAGAGAACGGTGGCCATGGAGACCGTATGGCGCCCTCTGCTGAGCTCGCGCAGCTGGCGAGGTTCTCGCACTCGGTCATACAGACATTCGCCACTCACCAGGGGCGCCACGTCACCTCTTTCAGAGGTGGCTTCATGTACGACCGGAAGCACATGGATTCCGACGCGCTGAAGGTCATGTCGAAGATCGCTAAGCTCGACCTGGCCTACAAGACAATTCGACATTTGCCCGAGGAGTTCTGCACCGTGCTCTGCACTGACCTGGACGCTGCTCTTCTTCGGATTCGCCGCCCTGGTGGTCCAGCAGCCCCCTCCACAGTTGCCACGCGGCCAGTGGTCGAGCAGCGCGAGAGGCTGGCATCGCCCACTTCCGCACAGATCGAGGGCCGTCATGTCACCACGCATGTCGCTTTCAACAAGCTGGCGCCGGCTTTCGTGCCAGGGGGCGCTGCTGAGGTTGCGCCGTCGGTGTTCTCCATCCCCGCGGTTTTGCAGAGTGCCCAGCAGTCGTACGACTCGCAGCTCAATGCTCACGCGGCGCTGGTGGAGGCTCAGGATAGCTCGCTCGGCACCCTCATCAAGGAGAAGGAGGAGTTGCGGGCGCAGGTGCGCGCGGACGTGCCAGCGAGGAGGTCGAGCGAGGACGAATGACAGCAGCTCAATCGATGACCTCTCCCGCAATTCGGACGATATTCAGGAGGAACAGAAACACACAGACACAATTAATCGTCGATTCCCCAGAAAATATGGGCAAATAAGAAAATATGCGAAAATATGGGGAATCTGTTTATTTGTGTGTATTTATTTGTGTGTCCTGGGGCCCCTTCAGATATGACCACCACTGACCTAAGGCGGAAGATGGAGGTGCTCGAGGAGAAGATGAGGGGCTGACGTGCTCGCAGTCCCTCTCCTTGCCTGGTGGCGAGGGCCGCTGCGGAGTCGGCCACGGAGCTCGCCCCGGAGATCAGCGGCACGTCTGTTTCGTCTCGCGTGCGGGCGGCAGTGGTCAGTGCGATTGAGCCGCGCCTGGAGTCCTCGAGCGGCCGCCGTGATTCCATGCTCATGGCGATCAGTGATCATGTCTCCCACCTGCGTAGGGCCGTGCACGAGAGCGAAGAGAAAGCCGAGGCATGGGAACACAGCGTGGGCAGCACACGGCAGGAGCTTATTGGGCTTATCGAGGCACTGGAGGCGCGGATGGCGGAGCCATTCCAGTCGCAGCGGGGACTCTTCTCGAACTGCTCGGCATCGCCCTCGCCAGTCCCAGGAGCGCGTTCACCGCAGGTGATACTTTGCCGTTATGGTCGGAGGCGCTGTCGTCCTGAACGCAGATAACAACATCCGGAAGGACGCGATATGGAGTCCGACCACTTTGATGATGGTGTCGATGCGGGCCCCGAACGTGGCAAGGCCGCGTCTGCAGCCACGATTCCCGGTGGACGCTGCGATGGCCCCCCTCGCATCGAACCGAAGGCAAAGCCGATAGATTACGGCGGCAGATTTGATGACATCGTCGACGATGCCGAGGCGGAGGTGGTTCAGGATTTCATATTGGCTGGCCTGTTCGGCAGTCCGGCTGAGGCTGCGACGAGGACGGATTTGCCGCCTGAGCCCGACCTGGATTGATGTTGTTCTGCCGCTCGCGGAGCTTCCTTGACGACTGGTTCTTCGGGGATGGCGCCAACTGCCTCGTCTTCTGGTCCATCCTTGTCGACTGGGTTTTCTGCTCTACATATGCGCGGGTGCCCTGCGCAGAGCCCCTCCTCAGCGGCTTCCACCTCATTGCATCCATGTTGCTCTGCTTTCTCTCATCACCCGCTCGGCGGGTTGCGGATCTTCCATGTTAAATCGGATCGGGACTCTTCCACGCACGCTGTGCCTCCTCCTCCTCCTCCTCCTCCTCCTCCTCCTCCTCCCCCTTCTCCTCGTCTTCCTCCTCCTCCTCCTCCTCCTCGTCTTCCTCTTCCTCCTCCTCCTCCTCCTCCTCCTCCTTCCTCCTCCTCCTGTTCCGTCTCCTCCTCCTCCCCCTTCTCCTCGTCTTCCTCCTCCTCCTCCTCCTCCTCCTCGTCTTCCTCTTCCTCCTCCTCCTCCTCCTCCTCCTTCCTCCTCCTCCTGTTCCGTCTCCTCCTTCTCCCCGCTCCCCCTGCCCCCTGGCGCACGCAGCCAACGCAGGGGGGGGGCCCTCGCCGAAAGAGCCGCAGCGCCGGACGTCCAGGGCGCACGCACGCCCCGTGCACCTCAGGGGGACAAGCACTGGCGTAAGCTAAACATAAACACTAACAAAAACTAAACATAAGCAATGAGCAATGACACATAAACATAAGAACAATGGCATATAAAGATGAACAATGACAGGCAGACAACTAAGCAGGAGCACTGGAACAAGTGGGGGAGGACAAACAATGACATATAAGCAGAAAGACTCTGAGGTCCGCGCGGGTTCCTCGGATCGGCGCTGGGGCACTCTGGCGGCGCCTGCGGCGCCGCCCCTGGCGCGCTCCGCGCGCCAGGGAGGGGGGCCCAGCGCCGATTTGAGGAGTCCGCGCGGATCTCCGAGTTTTCACGCTTATATGTCATTATCTGTCCCCCCACGCCTGCCTCTGAGGAGGGCCGGTCGAGGACGCGGCGGCCTGCGTCGTTGCTGGGCCTCCTGTTGGGAGCAACGACAGGGGGGGAATAGGGGGGCAGCGGCCTCGAATGGCTGGTACATCGACGATGTGCCGTTGATAGCAGGGCGATGCATCGACGATCTATAGATGATGCATGGGACTGTCTGCATCGACGATGTATCGAGGATACATGGGCGACGTATCGGCCATCCGAGGTCGATACATCCCCCCTATGCCTATCCCCCTATCGTTGCCCAAAATCCTGAAGGCTTCGTTGGAGGAAGGAGCTTTGCGCTGGGGCCACACGTGCGCACAGATCCGTCCGAGGTACGCAGCGAAGGTGGAGAGGCAGAACGCGGACGGCAGCTACCGGGTGGTCTGGTCCGGCAAGGCGGGGTGGGTGAGGAGAAGAGCGGCGACTGCGAGGAGGAGGAGGAGGAGGAGGACCAGAGCAAACCCAAGATGCACCAGCCGATGCTGCCACGCACCCTCCCGTCCCAAGTCCCCCTTTCAGAAGTCCACACAAGTCTCCCTTTCCAATGCGGGCGCCCCCCCCCTGAATGACGGGAGGAGGAGGATCGAAGGGTGAATTACCTACCCCGCTTTCGCTTCCAGGCAAAACCAAGTCATACCACGCGCCTCCTCGTCAAGCGGCCTGACCAGTACAGACCGTAGTTCGGCATCGTTTGGTATCTCTTGGAAGCGAGGGTGGTCAAAAGCGAGGTAGGTTTGTTTTCCCCCTAGAGGAGGAGCAGGAGGAGAAGAACTTTTGGTTCAAGGCCGTTCGCGGGGTCTTCATCCCCCGTGCTCAGCCCCGGCGCCGCGCCCCGCCCGCGCGGCCGCCCTCGAGGGGCCGCCTCAGCGCGCCGCCGCGCCACCGGAAGCCTGGGTAGTCGAAGGCCAGACTGTCAGATTGGATTGGGCCCCCTCCTCCTCCTCCTCCTCCTCCTCCTCCTCCTCCTCCTCGAGGGCCGGCCGATCGAGCATCGACGTTTCCCACGCTGGGTAGTCGAAGGCCAGACTGTCAGATTGGATTGGGCCCCAAGGGCCAATCTGGCCCGGCCAAGCTGGATGATTTGGGTTCTTCGCCAGACTGGATTCGCGTTGGCTCCCTCGCCAGATGGCCCCCGTTTGCCAGATGGGGCCCGCCAGATTGGCGCCGGATTGGCTTCGACTACCCAGGAAGCGTGCGGCGCGCGTACCATGAGAAGGTGATCAACCGCGACTTCCGCGTCATCCACCAGAGGGCGAACATTTGGGACGGGGTAATTAACCGCGAGTGCAACATCAACCACCAGCTGTTCAATTTCAAGGCGGACATCTTCAAGAAGGGCTACGAGGTCGACCCACCCCGGTTGAGACCTACTGGCACGCATGCCGAGACCATACACGCATGATTAGAGGAGCGCAGGCGCGAGCAAACGCTACCCAAAAACGAGCCAGGCACAACGCCCGACATGAAATACAACCTCAACCCAACGATACCACTATCATTGCCACAGCCGCCCTCGCAAGGCGACCAGGTTCGACAGCAACTACGACAAGAAGCACGACGACAAGTACGACACCGAGTACCACAAGTGTGTAATCATAGAGGCGCCCTCCCCTGGCGCAGACGGGCCCCTGGACGACAGTGCCCTCCAGAGCTACGATGGCCACCTGTGCAACGCGGGGTCCCAGGATCAAGGGTACGACGGCTACAGCGGCCACAGCTTCCAGAATTGCAGCGACACTCTGCACGTGGAGCACTACGATTTGGCAGCTGACGACTCCGATGCAGACCTCGGGGGCTACGAAGTGAACGTGCCCTCGGGGCCAGCTGACGTGCTCCTCGACTACCTCCTGGCCGCTGGGGAGCCTGCGCCCCCCCCTGCCCCCGCGGGCGCCTCAGCACGAACAGGAAAATTAAGATAGGTATTATCCTCCCACGCGGCGGCCCCCCACACCTACCCCTGCGGGCTACGTCGCCGAGGATTCCCCCATCGTCGCGACTTCTGGACTCGACCGAACTACGAGGGCCACCAGCTAAGCTTCGATGGCAAGAAGCAGAGCCTCAAGAGCCAGTGCCTTAACTTCGAGGGCCACCAGTGGAGCTTCGACGGCAAAACGAAGAGCTTAGAGAGTTACCAGCTGAGCCTCGAGGGCCACCAGCAGAGCTACAACGGCATGATGCAGAGCGTCAATACCCACCAGTTGAAAGTCGAGGGCCACGAACAGAGCTACGACGGCAAGATCCAGAGCTTATAGGGCCACTCAGCTTCAAGAGCCACCAGCTGAACTTGGCGAGCAACTCGCAGAGCTACAATGACCACGCGCTGAGCTTCCAGGACTATGCGCAGAGCTAAGAGGGCCACTAGCAGGTGTACGAGGGCCACCAGCCGATCTACGAGGACGACACGCAGAGCTTCGAGAACCACCTGCGAGCTACGAGAGCTACCAGCCGAACTACTAGAGCCACTGGCACCAGCCTCCCTGCCACCTGGCTGGAACAGCTACCTCCACAAGCAGGGACGACGATACCACCACCACGCGGCCATGGACATGACGACGTGGAAGTTGCCTTGCGCCAGGTCCGCCGGCACACCCCTCCGTAGCTGCCTCATGAAGCCAGCGGAGCCACCAGAGCCACCGGCAGAAGCCCGAGGACCACGAGTTACGCTAAACGGAAACCGAGCGGAGCTTCGAGGGCCGCCAGCTGAGCCACCTGGACCCGCAGAGCTACGAGAGCCGCCCCCTGCTCCTCAAGGACTGCCAGAAGAACTTCGAGAGCCACCAGAAGAGCTTCAAAGGCCACCAGCTGAAGTACCAGCGCCACCCGCCGATCAACGAGAACCACCAGAACTACCCGGGCCAACTGCGGAGCTACGAGGACCACGAGCTGAGCTACTTGGGCCACCAGCTGCGCTACTTCGGCCAGCAGCTAAGCCGCCAGGGACAGCCGCTGGGCTACGAGAGCCACCGCTAGAGCTACGACGACCACCTGCAGATCTACCAAGGCCACCAGCTGAACTACAAAGGCTGCAAACTGCAAACTGAGCGACTTTGGCCACCAGCTGAACTACGAGGTCCACCAGAGCTGCTGCGAGGGCGACCAGCTACATTTCGATGGCCACCTGAGCGACGAGGGCAGCCAGCTCAGCTACGACGGCCACCAGAATAGCTCCTACCATGCGATCCACGCAAGGTCGCAGCCAAAAATCAGGACAAATGGGACAAAGAGCTCCAGTTGCGGATCCGCACCATAGAAGCCGGCTACGAGGCGGGCCGCATCTCCTACGACAAGTACAAAGAACGCATCGCCATTGCGCACCGCCGTATGCGAGACATGCACCTCCCCCTTCCTCTAGATTATGAAAACTTTGCGCGGTCTTCCCCCTACTCTTCTCCTCTTCGGAACCTACCGGTATCGGCGCGATGCGGTACCGCCGCGGTATTAGCCCCGCGGCCACGCGTGGGGCGGCGCCGCGGTGGAGAGGGATAGCCGCGCCAAGGCTGTGAGAGAGAGGGAGGAGGAGGAGGAGGAAGAGGAGGAGGGGAGGAGGAGTAGGAGGCTCCACGGCAGTCACAGGGGGGCACCTAGGGATCGATTCGTTCCTCGCCTTCATCGTTCTGCGACCAGCGCAACTCCGGAGCGGCGAGAGCGCTTTCATGTCACGAACGTTGTCTGAATTTCGGACGTCAGGGCTGCTCTCGGGCACCACGCAGAGGAAGTCTCGAGCGATAGCGCCCGTCTGGAAGAAACCGGCGGCGCGCCCCAGGGGGCAAGGAGAAGACGCAGGCATTCCCAGAAGGCGGCGGGGCTTCTCTGAAGCCACCCAGCCTTCTGAGAAGCCGCCTGCGTCTTCGAAGAAGGCTTCGGAAACTGGCCAGACGACTGGAGGCCTCCCGAGCCCGAGCCTTCTGAGAAGGCCCGCCCCCTCGTCAGTTCCCCTGTGGGCTCGCCGCCGAATGAGTTAGTAGGAAGGATCCAGCGGGAGCCGTTGCATGTGTAGCCCCGGGGCCAACCACGTAATTTGGGAACCAGAGTTTTCCATCACAAGAACATTCGTGCGCGACCCAAGAGGACTTCTTCATAAGTGAAAATTTTTCACGTTTCGCAAATCCCCACCAGCCCATTCAGAAGCCCTGCCATCGAGAGCTGACGGGAAAAGGGACGAAGAGACACATCTAGGAAAACAAAGCGAGCAACCAGGGTGAACCCAAAGATCTTTGGGAGCAAGGGGGTGGTTTTGGAAGGCCTCTTCGGGCCATCCCTGGGGGCCGCGTGGGGGCGAGGG